TCTTGCTGGTGTACTTCTTCTTCTTCTCCTTCTTCTTCTTCTTCTTCTTCTTCTTCTTCTTCTTCTTCTTCTTCTTCTTCTTCTTCTTCTTCTTTCTCTCTCCTCTGGTCTTTATCTCTTTGCAAGTGCTTTCATTTCTTTCCCAATTGGGTGGCATTGTCTTTCATTGTGAATTTGCACTTGGGAAATGACCAGGATCGTAACAATTGGTATCGGAGCGGACTTACTTGTTGGCGAGAGGTGTTAGTCACCCTAACCTTAATTCTGAGTTAGGTTAGGGCTAACCTAATCTCGAATTAGGGTTGGAAGTTAGGGTTAAGTGGGGCAGCGAGGTATGGGGATGCTGCCCCCACCTGGTTAGGTCATGTAGGGTCGACATTGGACCCAACCAGGTTGCTTGAGTGAATGTATGGGGTGGCGAGACGCAAAGGAGGTTGTTTGGAGTAAGCGAGAGGGAGTAGAGAGTGAGAGGTCCTCGCACCTGGAATCTGGACTTCAGGAAGACATTGAGTGACTTTTGGGCTTCCCCTCAAGAGGGAGACTTGATCGGAGGCTGCCATATCTGCATCGGATTGCTGCAAGTTGCTACTTTGGTCTTCAGGCATCGGCGGGGGATCCGGCTTTGCAACAGGGGTGTAGGAAGGCCCTCTTAGTCATGCTAGGACACTTCGTGTAGTGGTAGTTAGGGGTCAGGAGGACTTATATGTGAGGGGAGTGACTCGTTATCCATCTTTGGAGGCCGGGCCTCACAGGTAAGTGTCGTGTGACCTGGGAAAGCCCGTGGGAGGTTGCTTGGTGCTTCATGGCCTGTTGGGGGTGTGTTGGGTTCTCTTCCTCTTCTCTGCGGTCTTGGTTGTGTGTGTGAGCTTGTGGATTGCTTTCGCACCTGATGGATGGATGGATGATGTATCTACTCTAAATGACATATCTTTCTATGGTGCATTATCTTTTCATTTTTGAACGGCTGTAGGAGTAAGTTCTTGCTGAAAGTTGTCTTTTCCTTTTCAGTACGGTAGAGGCAGTTTGGGACCAACTTGGCACCCCTATCACGTTGGCCCTGTTCCACGGCCTACTTGGGACCCCTCGGGACCCAGTGGGACCAGGCCCAACGGGACAGGACCTTTTGGGCCCAGATCTGTTGCCGTCAGTGCATTTCTTTGTTGTGCTGAACCTGGGGGACATTCGGACAGCAAGGGCATTCCTTTCAAGGGGATCTTGACTGGCCTTACCGCATGTTAGCACATACTGCCCCGCGTCTGACTCGGCGACCGTCTGCACCCCTCGAAATCTCCATTGCTGCAGATTAGTCTTCTTCGTCKGATTTATTGTGATGCATGTCCCCTGTCAGGTTAGACAAGAGGGGATCTCCAGTTGATCTGATCGGGCCCGTTCTATAAATCAGACCTCTCTGCTGTTTCTTTTTTTTATTTTATTTTATTTATTTATTCTTCTGCTGCGTGCCACGCTCTAAGTCTAAATGATTCGCCGCTCCGGCTAGGAGTTCTACCTTCCTCTCTGAGTGGTTTTCTGTTTGTTTCTTTCACCTGAACTATCTATGTCCGGTATCGAGACGCATGCGGAGACAGCGAAAAGAGAAGAAAGGGAGAGAGAAGGTGTTCAGTTGGAGAGTGTGAGGAGGGGAAGTGGAAGGCCATGCTGGATACACCAGACGAGAGTCAGAAACCATTCTTTCAAAAATTGTATGATGATGCCGTGCAGAGAGAAAGGGAGGCAGCGGTAGCAGCTAGAGCCGCCAACATTGTTGATCAGGTGGCTCTCCTTCGGATCCCGAAAGCCAATGCTGACCGGTTCCAGGAGGAACTAGCTGTTGCTGTAGCAGCCTTGGTCCGACTGCGGACCTTGGAAAACCTTGAGTCTCGTATGACAGCACTTGAGCAGCGGAACCAAGAGCTGCAGGCTAAGGTAATTAGCCTTCAACAGTCCCAGTTGTCTGCCCCCCGCCCTCCTAACCCTCGATCTGTCATAGTCTCGGTCTCTCAATCAAACACAGCCCTCATAGTAAGATCAAGTGGAACCATGGCAAGCGTAGGAACCGGTGTCAGCTCCTCGAGCGGCAGCGCCGGCAGTTCTGCGTTGGTCATGGTCCCAAATGCAGGGACTTCGGCCCAAAACGCCACAGGCCTTACTGGCGTTCAGTACAGCGGTCCCATGGTGGACAAGCGGGCGGCCACGCTGCTGCCCAAGCACGACGGGAAGGCAGACATCAACTCTTGGATTAGTTCCATGCGGTCGTACTTCGAGGTCATGCGGACACCGCAAGAGGACCGAAGTATGATCATGGGGACTAATATTGAGTCCGCCGTACGAAACCACATTAAGCTCCAAGTTGTCGCAGCAGGCTATGAACGCATAGACCTGACTGAATGGCTGAAGGTCACCCCTGTCCGCGTCCTTGAGGATCTTCTCCTTGATCGGTATCAAGATAAACATGCTGCGCTCAAGGCTAGGCTGAAGCTTGAGGCCCTCAAGGGCCAAACATGGAGATCATCCATGCAGGCTTTGGAACAACACTTGACTGGTTTGTTCACCACACCGGATCTGGGAATGACTGACGTGTCTTGTATGGATGTAGTCATGGGAGTGGCCCCTAAAGAATACCTCTCCCTGCTAGCACTCAAAGACCATGCCACCTGGCGAGAGCTCATGAAGGATCTAGTCAACCTAGAGGCCAAGGACCTCGCCAGGCGTAAGAAGGCGCCTGCTGCAGGTGGGAAACCATAACTTAAGCTGCTTGGAAGTAGCAACCAGCTTGCACTGCATGATCATCGGGAGGCTGAAGATCAGTCCTATGCGCATGATCTGTCTCTAGATGACGATCTAGAGCCGGACTCCGATGCGGGCTGTTCCACATCAGCCATTGAGTGTGACAGAAATGCAGATGAAAGACTTAATGCATTCAGAAAGACTGCTTCAAATAAGGGGCCTAACCGTGGTTCGGGTAAGGGAACTGTCATTCACCTTCCCAAACATGCTAAGATCCCTGAGAAACCGGAGGACGCTTCTACCAAGCCTTGGGAAGCCCTCCGCATCACTTAAAAGGAATGAGAAAGAAGATTCAAATTGTGCGTATGCTTGCATTGTCAAAAGCCTGGGCATGTTGTGCAGGATTGCTATCATCTTCAGGGAAACAAGCAAGGGGCGTACAGGAGACATCAGCACTCTCTACGACAAGGGAAGTTGAGCAGTCAATTGCAGGCCCTTCTGAGGAGCCTGGATCTGATCAGCAGCTTGCTCTTGGAGCCCGAACTAATGCTGATTCTAAGGCTGGTGCAGTCCAAGTGTTATACACTGAGCCTTGGGAGGAGTCTAAAGAAGTTGACTTCCCCGCCCACATACCTCAAGCAGCAGCGCCGTGTTTAAGGGAGCGTGGAGCTGACCTTCTTTAAACTACTCATTAACCGCCGATACATCCGTGTGTTGATTGACAGTGGTTCAACCACTAATTTCTTCTCTCCTAACGAGATTCGTAAGGCGGGCCTGGGAATGAAGCAAGTGGAACTGTAGAACCCTTATCAGACCCATGTGGGCAACCAAGAGGTTGTCACATCTACACATGAAGTCAAAGGTGTGCGCGTCACCTTTGACAAGGACCGCACTGTCACACACAAGCTCAACTTCTACGTCATGAACAAATGCCCGTTCGACGCGGTCATTGGCTTAGGTTGGCTAAAAGCTCATTGCCTAAGGACCACGTGGGCGGACAATCAGTTCGTGGTACTTGATGCCAAGGGGAACGAGCGTACCGTCTTATTGGATGAGACGCGCGAGTCCCCTGTGACTCTTCTAAGTGCAACCAAATTCTGCAAATCAGTGTGCAGGCGCAAGGAAGTTGAGCATGTATATGTAGCTTTTGTAAAGCCTATCCATGTGCCTTCTACTTTTGCTGCGTTTTCTACCTCGGTAAGTAACTCTACTTCTACCACCTCTACTTCTGGTCCTTCTACTTCCACTGTGAATCATCCCTCGACTTCTAATCCGGTTGTCATTGCTGTAAATTCTCAGTCTAATTTTCTTTCTCCTGATGAGGATGATCCCCCATCGGAAGTCCCAACAAACATTCGCCAGCTATTAGATTGATTCCCTGAAGTCTTGGCCGAACCTCGTGGAGTTCCCGAGCGTCCGGTCAAACACAAAATCGAGGTAATAGAGGAGAGTGTTCCTCCAAAGGGCTGCGTCTACCGTATGGGACAAGGTGAGTTGGAGGAGTTGAGACGGCAGATTGATGATATGATTGACCGTGGATAGATTAGACCCAGTGAGTCTGAGTTCGGTGCACCTGTCCTATTTGTGCCAAAAAAAAGAGGCAAACTCCGGATGTGTATTGATTATCGTGGCCTGAATCGGATCACAAGGAAGAATGCTTACCCTTTACCTCGCATAGATGATTTGCTAGATGCGGCAGGTGGATGCAAGGTCTTCTCCAAGATCGACCTCAAGTCTGGCTACCACCAGATTGAAGTTGATCCGAGCGACCAGCACAAAACTGCATTCAAGACTCGCGATGGGATGTACGAATTTATCGTTATGCCCTTCGGTCTTACGAATGCACCTGCCAGACTGCCACATTTCAGTGCCTCATGGACAAGGTACTCCGCCATCAGCTTAACAGGTTTGTGGTTGTGTATCTTGACGACATTCTGATTTTTAGCAAGTCTATGAAGGAGCACCTCAAGCACCTTGAGGAAGTTTTGCAGGTCCTCAAGGAGGCGCAGCTGCACCTCAACTTAGAGAAATTTGAGTTTGGGAGAGACAGCGTCATCTATCTTGGGCACCGTTTGTCTGCAAACGGCCTTGAGCCGGAGGCAACCAAAGTTGAGGTCATCCGAAACTGGCCTCAACCGGCAACCGTACGCGAATTGCGTTCTTTCCTTGGTCTGGCCTCATATTACCGGAAGTTTGTGCCCAAATTTTCTGTCATTGCTCACCCTCTCTCAAGACTGACAAGCAAGAATGTTGCCTATGCTTGGTGTGAGAAGTGTGAGACTGCGTTCCAAGCCTTGAAAGAGGCATTGGTGAGTCATCCTGTGCTTCGCATTGCAGATCCCAACCTCACTTTCGTAGTCACTACGGATGCGAGCCAGTTCGGGATTGGTGCAGTGATGCAACAAGATGATGGTGATGGCCTGCGTCCGCTCGAGTATTACAGCAAACGCATGCCCAGCCACAAGGTAGCTACTTCCACATATATGCGCGAGCTCTACGCCCTGCGCGAAGCTCTCGCACATTGGAAGCACTACCTCTTGGGTCACCACTTCAAGGTCTACTGTGATAATCAGACCTTGCAGTGGATTCAAATACAATCTGAACTCTCTCCTACATTGACCCGCTGGTTGCATGACATTGATGTCTATAGCTTTGAATTGAAACACAAGAAAGGTTGTTATAACCGTGTTGCTGATGCTTTGTCGCGCCATCCCGAGTATTTGTCTTGCCTTGTGGACTCTTACGACCTCCGGAGGAATCTGAAGGAGGAGCTCGTCGAACACACTGCCAAGGATCCGGACCTTAGTCCCATCCTTGAGCAGCTCAAGGCTGACCCCAACAGTCAGCCTGATTTTCACGAATGCGAGGGTCTTGTATTTCGTCGGTACGGAAAGTTTGATCGTTTATGTGTTCCCAACCATGCGCCTCTCCGGACTCACTTCTTGGATTTGGCACATGGTCGGAGTGGACACTTCGGCTTCGAAAAGACATATGGGAGTTTTTTGCAGCAGTTTGACTGGCCGGGTATGAAGGGATCTGCTCAGAAATTCATCGTTGAGTGTCAAGTCTGTCAAAGAACAAAGGTCCATAGGCATAAGCCTTATGGCCTGCTGAGACCCCTCCCAATTCCTGATGGTCCCGGGGAGTCGGTCTCTATCGACTTCACGGACATGGGAAAGGTGAGTGCAGCAGGGAATTCACAAGTTATGGTGATTGTGGATCGCTTTTCTAAATTTCTGAACCTGATCCCTCTACCTCCTCATGCACCGACTGAGCTAGTAATTGAAGAATTTCACCAACAGTACATTTTGCAGTATGGACCCCCGAAAACTCTTGTGAGTGATTGGGATACTAGATTCATCAGCGCCGATTGGAAGGACTTCACGTCGCAGATCTATGACATTAAACTGAACAAGACTTCCGGTCGACACCCCGAAGCCAATGGATTGGCTGAGGAGATCAACCAGATTGTCATCCAACTACTCCGCGCATTGATTGTTCCAGATCAGAACACGTGGGACAAAGAGTTGCACACAATCCCCTCTCCTATCTGTTCCCCGAACGGTCACCTGGTCTGATGCCCGGCATGCCTCGCTACAATGCCAAGTACGCACGCTTGCTCAAAGTTGTTACCGCAGCCATGAACAAGCGCCAGCATGCCATGATCAAACACGCCAACAAGCTGCGCAAAGAAGAAAAATTCAAAGTTGGGGATTATGTTTGGGTCAAAATGTCTGAGTTTTCTGATGAAGAGGGCGTGTCACGAAAGCTTCTTCCACTGTACTACGGCCCTTGGCAGATCCTGAAGGTGATTGGGGATGATTTCGGTCCTTCGTATGTGATTGACGTGCCTCCTCATCTGCGCACGTATCCAGTTTTCCATGCCTCCAAATTGCTCCCACACATTGATGATGAGACCTTTCCCTTCCGAGACCCTATGATACCTCGCCCTATTGACGGCGGCCATGAGATTGACAGAATCGTTTCTCATGAAGGGGGAGGGAGGAACAGACAGTACAAGGTTCACTTCCTCTACCACCCGTTGAACGAATTCTTCTGGATCGACCGGAAAGAGCTGCTGAAGAGTGCTCCACATGTTGTGAATGCATATGAACGACAGATTGTTGATGGACAGACCGCTAAGTTTGCTGCAAAACTCACTCCGTTCGGTCTCACTAACACTCTCTTTTTGATCTACACCTACAACGCCTTTTGTGCCGACTCTGACTGAGTTACTCGCTCGAAGGGACCTCGCTCTCGAGAGGGGAGTAATGTAACGACCCGCCAAAAACACAGATTGAAAACACTGCTGATTTCAGGGATTTTTCACTGGAATGAATGCCTTGCTGTGATTCCCGCATTCTGCTGTGGTTCCAAGTCTGTGTGTGAACGTGCCCGCTGGTTTGCATGCCTGTTTGAGTGCTTGTCGGTTGTGTGTGTGTGCGTGCCTACTGGTTTGCATGCCTGTCTGAGTGCTTGCCGGTTGGGAATGTGGTGTGTGACCCGCAAGGGTACTTGTTGGTTGCAAGGCCCACCGGGCCGGTACTTACCTGTGGCCGTGACTTTGAAGGGTTGCAGSGGGGTAAACACGCCRGTAGCGGGGGGTAGGCCCACGACACTKAGRGCAGCTGGGGAAAAACACTCAAGTAGCAGGTAGGCCGAGCAGAAGAAGACAAAAAGTTGGCATTTTTAGAGGCCCAGTAGCGGTAGGTTAGAGGTAGGCCGGTACCAGTCCAAGTAGCCCGGGTCTAGGGCCTGTGCGGACAATAACAGAGCCTGCAATGATGTTTCCCTCCGAAAGGGAGGAGGTACCGGTTGCTRGGAGGCCGCTYGGCCTAGRAAGTCACCGCCCAGGAGGCCGGTAGGCCGCTATATCTTCAGGAAGAGCGAAGAGCTCTTCCTCATTTGCGGTGTGCAAGGATTGGCGTCATGCTGCTGGAGCGCTAGCGCTGGTCTGCTACAGCGCCGGGCGGAGGTGAAGGCAGCTGGGAGCTCAGCCTGGCTATGGCGAGCAACCCAGCCTGAGGAGGAGGAAGAAGGGGGCATGGCAGGAGAGTGGCGGGGCACTTACCTGGCTATGGTGAACACCATCTTCATCACCTTGTTGGGYGCTGCATCTGGAAGGCCCCAGTTGGGGTAGTGCGGCACCAGGGAAGCTCGAGGCAGAGTCAGGCATAGCGGACCAAGTCAGCAGCGACACAGCTGCTCTGAGTAGTCCTTTGGGCATCAGCGCAGCACCATAGCTGCTTGGGTTGTCCTTTGGACATCAGCGCAGCACCCTAGCTGCTTGGGGGTAGTCCGCCATAGCCTATGCATGAGAGAGGAGGTTGAAGGAGGGAAGCCATAGCTATGGTGGACTTGTTGTTGTTGTTGTTGAGTTGAGTCAGCAGTAAGAGCGAACTTCGGATATTGATTCTGGTACATCCATTCATTGTTATTATTATTGTTGAGAGAAGAATAAGATTGGCGGTTTGAAGGAGGAGGAGGAAGGTGGAGAGAGAAGGGGGAAATTGACATTGGTCTTGCTGGTGTACTTCTTCTTCTTCTTCTTCTTCTTCTTCTTCTTCTTCTTCTTTCTCTCTCCTCTGGTCTTTATCTCTTTGCAAGTGCTTTCATTTCTTTCGCAATTGGGTGGCATTGTCTTTCATTGTGAATTTGCACTTGGGAAATGACCAGGATCGTAACGCTACCTACTTCTTTCACTCAGACGATACGATAATCGCTTTCCCCCTCCCCGTGCCCAACTGTGGGCACTACCGCCCCCATATCCACGGCCAAACCCTTCCTCTTCAACCTCCTACTCCACCTCCTCCAGCTGATCAGCTACTGGAGGCAGTCTCACTCATCTCCAAGCTCCCTCTAGACTCCCCAGCTGGTCGGCTGGCTACCGTCTTCACCCGCATGGAACGCCCGGTAATTATTGCCCTATCTGGACTGACCGTTGCGTCAAATACAGCTATAATGACGGCGCGTTCTATTCGGGTGAAACCGGAAGTCACCCTCAATGGGGAGCAGCATGATGACAATAGCAAGTGAGGACCTCAACCTGCGCATCTAATGATACGCTTGGATGGACTAGTGGGAGGTCCGGCAGCCAAGCTCCCTTCTTATCGCGCTGCCTCTTTGCATCACCCGCTCTGCCTCAAGGCGGACGTCCCCTGTTTCAAATTAATCTTGCCAATATCCCTTTGTATCGCTGCCTCTCTTTGCATCACCCCCTTTGCGGCTCTGCCTCAACTTGAAGGCGGAATACATATGGAGGGCATATGACCATTCAGAGGACACGATCGTTATACCATGTAACAGGCACGCCTACCATCTTTTTATTTTTTTATTTTTTTATTTTGGCACGCCTATCTTGACTTCAACCAAGACGAGATTGTGTCCGGTACCAGCATGTCTTCTGTCACTAAGCCTACCGAACTTAGGACCTATCGTCTTCACCCGAATAGAATGCCCGGTCATTATCGCTGCATCTGGACTGAAAGTTGGGCCAAATGCAGCTATAATGACCGGGCGTTCTATTTGGGAGAAGACGGTAGCGCCTGAGTTGCTGAAAAATCCCTCCAGTCTGCCAAGGTGGGTTAACCGAATTAACCTATTAAGTTATTGCCTCTAGCATCCACAGCTTTGCCGATCCATTCTAGTACTCTCCATAAAACCATGGCTACTGTGGACACATACAGCAGGCCAGTCCAGACCTGGGCAGCTGGGCAGTTCAGATGTCATCCAGAAATCAGGACATCCAGACGGAGGCTGACGGAGCCAGATCATCAAGCCACGACATTGTCTGGATCAGTCAGGATCAGTGGGGATCAGTCCGCATGTATCCGGTTGCCTGTGTCCCAATGTGCTCAGTTCAATTCTTGTTTCCGTAGCATAATACTATGTATACATAGGGTTTTTCACTTGTTACGGCGCTTGTTTGTTGTTATTTTGCTCGCGCGGCTGGATCGACTTCTTTCCAATATACAGCCCCAGATTTGAGTGATTGTCGATCTAATCGGAGTACTTACCAAAGGGCGTAAGATTTCCTATCTCTTTCTGGGGCATCTCCCACCAATACACCTCTGACTCTCTTGATAAGAGTCAGAAAGATAAGTTAAACAGTGATGGCACCAACCTTTCATTTGGAAAAGAGTGAGTTTCTATCTCAGGGGGTAATTTTTACTATCCTTTTTTTCAGGGGCATCTCCCATCAATACACCTCTCTTGATAAGAGTCAGAATGATAACATCGATGGCACAAACCTCTTCGTTCAGAAAAGGCCAGCTCCAAGGTAGCGTGATGCAAAGTGCCCAAAACCCTCACTGCAACTAAAGAGAAGAAACAGAAAACGATCCACAAAGACAGCACTCCCAAAGTATAACAAACAACATTCGTAATGACCCAACATGGAGTTTCCAGTCTAAGAAATCTGCATCTTTCTGAGAAACTTCCGTCTTTTCATCTGTGTTGCTAAGATTTTAAGGTTTGGCTCTGTCTTGCTATGTTTTGGGGCGCTGTGTGTCCTCTTGATGATGGATGTATGCCCGAGAGTTTGTCCGTTGAAGATCTGCATTGAAGTCGCTCTTCATATGCGAACTATGCTCTAGTGCTGTGTTTCTGCGTCCCAGGAGGGGTAGAACGGCAAAAAAGTGTAGTTACAGGGGTAGTACTGACATTTGGACAACCTCTCTGTACAACATATTTGGGAACAGTTGCAAGAGTATACCTTTCCGCCAGCAGC